GGGGCGGGCCGGGGGGGGCGCGGGAAGGGGGGCCGCTTGGGAAGCGCGGTGGCGCTCCCGCCCGAGGGTTCGGATCCCACATACAGACCGGTTCCCGCTCACTGGCTGAGCGAGGCGCGGGAGCAACGCCGAGGGTTGCGATCCCGTTGCCGGTCCCCGGTCCGGTACAGGGGCAACACTGAGGGTTGCGATCCGTTGCCGGACACGGAAAAAAGACAAAAAAAAAATAATAATAATAATTCATAAATTAGACTTCAACAAAATTTTTAAAACTTTTGCTCTTCTGAACATGCTGTTAAGAAAATGAAAAGGCAAGCCACAGACTAGGTTCAAATATGTGTAAAACATCCATCTGACTAAAGACTCACATCCAGAATATTTAAAACGCTTTCATAACTCAATGAGAAGACAAACAAACCCATTTTAAAAAGTGAGCAAAAAAGCTTGCCAGAGCACGCAGTTGGTGGAGCGTGAGGCTCTTAAAACGTGAGCAAAAGGCACAGGTAGATACTTCACAAGAGGAAACACGCCGGGCCCGGAACACACACGCCTGGCACACACCTGCCATCCACTGGGTAAAAGCAAACCGAAACCACAATGAGGTGCCACTGCGCACCCGCAAGAACTGCAGGATGAGAAAGACTGGCGCGCCCCAGTGCTGGCGAGGACAGACCAGAACTGGAGCTTGCGCACCGCTGCGGGAACATAAGACAGTGTGGCAGTTTTCTGCAGAGCTAAACACTGACCGTCAGACTCAGCCACTCCACTCCTAAATACGTACCAGAGGTAATGAAAGCATCTGTTCAATAATGAGTGGTACACAAGTGTTCACAGCAGTTTTATTTCTAACAGCCCAAAACTGGAAAGAGCTGGAATTCACCATCAACAGGTGAACGGGTAAATAAGCCATGGTACAGCCATGCAACAGAATGCTCTGGGGAAGAGACAAGAACCAGCTGTTGACACACATAACCATGTGATGACTCTCAAAACAATCATGCTTAGTCAAGGAAGTCAGAGGAAAGACGAGTGTTTGCCACACAAGTCCATTTACATAAAATGCTGCAAAGTGTTAAACCATCAGCAGACACAGCAGACCAGTGGATGCCTAGGACTAGGGAGGCCACCCAGGGGACAAGGGTATGAGGGACCTAGGGGTGGAAGCACTGTGGTGCCCATCAAGGCAATCGTTTCATGTTATGGACATGTTGAAACTCAACACTTGAGTTTGTGTACTTTATTTATGTACATGCTACTGCGTGCCAAGTCTACTCAATTAAGCTGCAAAAAAATGACCACTGTCACACTAAACCTGCTGCATCTCTTCTGGGTTTGAGGGAATAATTTCCTTCCTTGCACTCACTTTCATAAAGTTACTTCTAGAACAGGGGCTCTGGCCAAAGGGCTGAAGCCGCCATGTGGACTGCAGCCCAGGCCACCGAGGGCTGTGTCCAGACAGGCCACAGGCTCCTAGTCCCCGGCAAATGGCAAGCGATTCACCTCAGCTGAACCTTCAACAAAGAAGCCAATTATCAACTAAGTCTGCCACAAGGAAACCACTTCAGGATCACTTGAGTTTCTCTAACAGTCATTTCAAACATTCTTTTCTAACAAGAGCCCTCTTGTGAAATGGAATCCTATGCGGAATCCCAGTCCCAGGTTGGACTCTTGGTCCCATGTGCCCCCAGGCAGCCCCTGAGATACCCACAGCATGGAGTGTGTGTGGAGATCACGCTCCTCTGTACTTACCCAGAACGCTGCTTGGCTTCTTTTTATTTCTCCGCCGCCTTTTCCTAGCGGGCTTGATCCAGGGGCTGGCCCCCAGGCAGCCCCTGAGATACCCACAGCATGGAGTGTGTGTGGAGATCACGCTCCTCTGTACTTACCCAGAGCGCTGCTTGGCTTCTTTTTATTTCTCCGCCGCCTTTTCCTAGCGGGCTTGATCCAGGGGCTGTCAGTTTTCCCCTTCCTCTTGAGAAATTTCTTCTTGATGCTGGACTCAGAACTCTGGAGAACCAAAGGGGTGGGTACATAAAACCAAAGCACGGGGAGCTCCTGAAGGCAGGGAACACTACAAATTTTGTTTCCTGCAAAATATAATACTTGCTATACCTTGAGTCCTCAACTAAAAGATTAATTTCACTTCTAGATATTTTTCTGGATCACATTTTTAAAGATACCCATGCTTTTCACTGAACAATCTCTCTAAGCTTAGCTACTTTCAGAGGAAAAAAGCCAAGAAAATTAAAATGGAATTTATAAATCTTATCTGAGTTCGGCACAAAAGAAAAGAAAAATTGGAAAGTTCTACTCAGGAACTAAACAAACGAGCTCAGTGAAAGAACCTGCTTTTGATCATATGTGTCCACTCATCTTGCTCCCGAGGAAAGGAGTGATCATGGCCTCCGTTTGCTTTAAAATCTATGCCTATGTTAATTATCTAAACAGAGAACAAGGAAAGAGGCTATAACTCATCAATAGTATTTCAAGACGTTCTTTAAGCATCTGTTTCTAACATCTGGACGTAGGGAGGGCATCTAGCCACCACCAGTTACCCTTGCTAATCCTGGAGAGGGAGCAGCAGGCTCAGATAGTACGAGGATCTCGCAAGCCCTTCTTCCAATGGGTAAAAAGAGACATTTGAGACGACATGCTCAACACACAGGCAGAGGCCACAGTTGCAGCACCCCAGGCTTTCCTACTGGACCAAGTTGTGGCTACCATAGCACATGTGTCCTGGCACTGGCACCTCCACCTGGCAGCAGTCCTGCCCCAGGTGAGGACAGTGCTAGGGCACTGCCTCGGGGCACAGACATGCTCTGTCCAGCATCCCTCCTCACAAACAGCCCTGGCTCCTAGTGGAAAGAACTTCTGCAACACTGCACCCAGAGTTTACTGCTGCTTGACTCCAGCTCCCCTCCACCATCCCAAAGAAATGACACTTGATTGCCAAACCAAACAGTCATGACAGACCAACACCATGAACCACCTTCGCCCTCTTCTGGGTGTTTCTCAGGTCACTTTCTCCCTGCAGCACAGAGTCCTCCTGCTCAGTCTCATGCACCCACTCGCCCTCCTCTGTTCAACACTCACATGCTGGGAGCTGCCCCAGACTCACTTTCTCACTCGCAGATGCCCGCAGACCTGTGCTCAACTCAGATCCGGACCCCAAGACCCACCTCCATCACTTGTTCCTGCACACTAGGAGTTAGAGACCTCAGTGTGGGCAGAGCAAGACCCTTATCCCTCCTATCCCTCACCTCTGTGTGACAGCCAACCCACAGAAAGCCCTGTCCATTCTACTTCAAAATACCTCAAATCCTGACCTTCCTTCTCTCTCACCTTAGCCGCTGTGGCAGAATCCCAACAGCTGTCCTTGCTGCAACCCCACCCCCGCCCAACCACTCTCAAGGGGCAACCAGCATGTGGGACCACACTGTCACCCTCTGACAGCCTCCACAGTCTCCCCTCCCAGCACTCAGTGGGGCAGCCCCTGCCAGGCCCGGCCTCCTGCCTCCTGTTGCCCACAGCCTAGGGGCCCAGAACACCCCCCCATCACACCCCGAGCCCTACGCTGTGACTATGCACAGGTGTCTCCTCTCTGGCTTTCCCAGGGATAAGACCACATGCACATGGCCACCACCATGTCCCAGCTCTGAGCACACACTGGCGCTAAGTAAGCAGTGGCTGAGCAAAGGCCTGAGCTCTGGTGTCCCCCGCACTCCCTGCAGTGTCAAACACCGACGTCAGGGAATTACCAAATCAGACTCGTCTCCGCCTTCCTCTTCCTCCCCAGTGTCGGCGGACTCCTGCTCCTCCTCAGACTCACCATCCAGCTGATCAGCCACACAGTAGGAGGTGAAAAACCAGACAGAAAACAAACACTAATTAGATCCTTTAGTAGCAGACGACTGGACTCAAAACAAATTTTAAAAAACACACTGGCAATATATACTGGAGAGGCACATAGGAAAGACCCCACCCCACCGTCTGTCCACCACCTGGGCTGGGCTGCCCAGCCAGTTCTGACCAGTGTGTGGGAGTGACCGTGTGCCAGTCAAGGCAGAGAATGAGACACACCCCAAGTTTCCACTCCTGCTGCCCACAGAGAGAAACCCTCCCACCCCAGACAGGGCTGCTCCCCGCTCTAATTTCCCTCCTGTGATCTGGAAGGTGACCACCCTGGCACATACTCAAGTATGAGTTCATCAGTGGGATGCTGAAGATTACAGTACTGGTGAAGACTACTACAAATCAGTGCATTTTATGTGAGGGAGAAGACCTTCTACTAAGTCTTAAGTCTTGCATGGCCATATCCTTGGCCCATTTTTCTACTGGGGCCCTTGCTTTGTCATTGATTTACAGAAGCCACACACACACATGCACACGCACACACACAGAATGACATTTTGTCTGTTAAATATGTCATCAATATTTTTCCTATCAAGTTTTTTTAAGCTTTGCTTCTATTATCTCTTACTACATAAAACTTTTAGATTTTATCTAAACAAGTCAAAGATGTCCATCTTCCCCTCATGGCTTCTGGGTTTCTGTCTTAACACTAGAAGACCTTTCCCATTCAAGATCAGAAAAATAGTTTCCAACATTTTCTTCAACAGTTCAATACTTTGTGTTGACACTTTAAGTCTTCTGGAATTCACTTTTTAAAATAACAGCTGTAGTAAGATATAATTCACCTACTCCAAAACTGATCCTTTAAAGTATACAGTCAGTGTTTTTTGGTATATCCAGAGCTGTGCAACCATCACTACTGTTTAATTCCAGGATGGAGTTTACATTTGTCATATAACATGACGCATGTGCCAACCTCTATTCTTCCCCAAAAGATTAGTCAATTGTCCCAATAACATTTACTAAAAAGCTCATGACCCCTTGGCCTCTAACTTAAAACCCCACTCTTACAATGAACTGCACCCTCTATACAAACAGGTTTGTAAGAACTCCCTGTTCCATTTGCTGACTGCGCTACCACTCTGCAGAGATGCCCGTTCCAATCCCACCCCTGCACTGGCCACGCTGCCTGCCTTCCCTGTCCCTGTCCTGCACAAATCCTCTACATGCAGACTGACTTTAGAGTCAGCAGTTCCACAAAAAGTCCTGAGAGGATGTTGGTGGGAACTATTCTAAATTCATAAACATGGAAGGACAAAACAATGGGTCTTCTTATTCAGACAAATAAGAGTCTTTCCATGAACTTAAGTCTTTTTTCAACCTCTTTCAGCAAAGCTGTACAGTTTTCCTCTTATGAGTAATACACATCTTTTTTTGGTAAGTTTATTCCTAGCTACTCTGGTGATATTAAGGAGTTATAGCTAGTTTTTCAGGTGTGATATTTTGGGTTTTTTTCTCAAAGAGTCCTTATTTTTTTTTTTTTTCCCCCTTTTTTTGTCTTTTTTCGTGTCCGGCAACGGATCGCAACCCTCAGTGTCGCACCCGTACCGGACCAGGACCGGCAACGGGATCGCAACCCTCGGTGTCGCACCCGCACCTCGCCCAGCCAGTGAGCGGGAACCGGTCTGTATGTGGGATCCGAACCCTCGGCGGGAGCGCCGCCACACTCCCAAGCGGCGCACTGTAGCAGTGCGCCACCAGGCCGGCCCCAAGAGTCCTTATTTTTTAAAGATCCTTACTGAAAACCCTGTTTCAAGACAATCCAAGTCTAGATAAATAAGACTGGCCAAGTGCTGGTGGCTGTACACTGTTTTCTGAATGTTTGTGTATGCTAACATTTTCTTCTTAGAAAAGTTTTTAAAATATCCCTCGGCACTGATGGATTTTATTGACATTGCTAACATTACATTTTCTTACTGCAGCTATAAAAGAAAATTACTGATTTTTATATCTTTATCACATGTAACTTCAGCTCATTAGCTATAATGGCTTTTCAGCTGATTTTCCTGGATTTTTTAGATGGAGATTATATTCTCAGCAAACTTTTCTCCCCAGTCCCTTTAAATACTGATGCTTCCTTCTGGTTCTTCTCCTACAGCACCAGCAAGAACAGTCAACACCGCTACGTCCGTGCTGGAGGTGAAAGCAACAACACCCCCTCTTCATGAGTGACAACAGAAAAGTTCTGCATTTTTCACCACTAAATACAGCCTTTAGTCAGCTTTATTTAATGAGTTTTCTTTTAATTTTACTGGGTAGTTTTTTATTTTAATAACGATCGACCAGTGAAACTACCAACCAAAAGAGGCAGGTTAACAACCTAGTAAACTCCACTTCCTTCCAAAACTCCAGCAAAGTGACAGTAAAGGAAGGAACAAGGGCTCCTCTGTGAGGGGCTGCTGCCTCACTGCTGCACACACGACAGCTGCAGGGAATCAGGCCTAAGTGGGAAACCCAAAGAAATGGAAAAGAAAAGGGACACAGCTGACATAACAGTAAGGAAGTACATAAAAAGGGAGCTGGAGTCTGGCATAGCTGAACTGAGAGAGCCGGAACCTAAGTGAGCTGGGAAACAGCAAGGCAGCATCCTGTGCTTGTTCGCGGCAGTGGCGGCAGGCAGGTCTGAGACCTGAAGTTCCCTCGGCCAGTCCCTTCCAGTCCCCAAACCAGTTGACACACCACCAGTCCCCAGGCACAGGCATGGCTTCTGGCTAAAACGTGAGGATCCAGCTCTCCCCAACCAGTCCCAGAACTGTCACATGACAAGTCCTTGCACTTAGCTTCTAATCCAAATGGCCAGCCAAGTGCACCAATCATTTCAGTGAAAAGGCAAGCCATGAATGGAAGACGTCAGGGTGACTACACATACAACAAGGGCTCACTTCCAGACACAGAACTCCTACAGAAAGATTTCTAAAAAGGACAAACAACCCAATAGATAAGGGGTTGAGACTTGAGCAGGAACTTCACAGAAGAAGGCATCCAGTGACAAATACACATATGAAAAAGGACTTAATCTTCTTGGAAATTAGCGAAACACAAATTAGAACTATGATGTGACACCACCTTACACTCACTGGAGCCATATCTGGCAAGCCAGCAGGGCAGAAGAAATGCCCAAAGATAGCTGGTAGGAATGTAAATTGGTACAACCACCCTGGGGAACTGCATGGCATTGCCTACTTATACTAAGATAAGACACAGCAATCCCACACCCAGGGAAACACGCACACGTACAGGAGTGCTGGCAGCAATATCATGTGAAACAGCCCCATCTGGAAACAACCCAGGCATCTGTCAACGATGGGACAGACACCACAGAGTCATGCAAAGGGATAATGTGTACCGATGGTCCTCCATCACTTGGTCTCAGGACCCCTGTACTCTTAAGGAATTACTGAGAACCATACAGAGCTCTTGCTGATATGAGTTATATCTACTAACATTTACTGTAGTGAAAATTTAAGCTGAAAACGTTCAAAGCACAAGTCTATCGGCCATCACAGCACAGACATCTTCACGTGTAACTCCACTCAACGAGCATGAGAAAGGCCAATAACATCTTAGCATTATTATACTAGTTTTGACCTGCAGACCCCCTGAAGGGTCTCAGAGATCCCCCCAGACTCCGATTCTATAACAATGAAAATTAATGCACAATATTAATAAATCCCCAAACAATTCTATACAATTCTCAGGGTGGGAGTTACTTTTGGGGGTTGGGGATAAGAAGCTGGGAAAGTGTGGGGGCTTCTGAAGAAGACTTTGGTCCAGGCAGTGGTCACACAGGCATGTCATTCTTTAATCGCTGCTGAACTATGCCTTTGTCATATGTGTAAGTTATAAAGTAATCCCCAAATTTCAAAAAACAAAAAGCTAAACTTTATAAAATGCCTTTTAAGCACACACACACTCTGTAGTTTTTCTTCACTTAATCTGTTAATCTATGTAAATCTTGTCAACACATTTCCAGCAATGAAACAATCCCTTCCTGAGGTAAGCCCTACTTCCTTATTATCAGTTTGATTTCTTCCCCCCCCCCCCCCCT